ACATGTAAAGCGCAATTAAAGATCAAAGCTGATGTCCGGAGCACATCACAGGCCTTCTCAGCATTATTTCAATCGGCTTCATCTAGATTCGGTTAGCCTTAGGTCTGTATTAAGTCGTGATCTTGATTCTTGTGGGACAAAGAGATAGTTTCGTGTCGCGGCCTACATAGTTTGATGTAATTCCCTTCTTTGAATGGATCAAAATTGGAGAAAATTGTAGCAACTAGAGAGAACTAGGGGTTTGTGAAAACAAGGTGAAGATTGCGAAATGTTTTTCAAAACCCATTAATCATGTTTTTACAAGTGACAGAAATTATTTTCTCCATTTGTTGGCCACATGGCAACTTTCCATTGACAACTTACATTTCACAAGGATGTGTGTTTGTTTGAAAACATTATGGGCCATTGATCAAAATAGAGAGTTGAGATTAGCTTAAACTTTACTCTCATTTAATTGATATGGACGGCAGGAGAGAGGACCAAAAAATGACACTCACTTTCTCTTCATTTTTCTTCCAAAAATGGCAAACTTCTCTCTTCTCTCTCTTTGGCGTTTTTCTTCTCTTTGGCTGAGGAAATTTCAGATCTAATTATATATACTTTTCGGCCATATTTTCGGTAGTAAGGCCAGTGTTTTGAGCCCGTGATCTGGTGGTTATTTTACTGGTGGCTGGCCGGAATTTTGTGTTTTCCGGCAGCGGGTTCTTTGGTCTGTTTTAGGGGTGTCAAAAAGGCTCGGTGGATCGAGCGGCTCGTGGCTCGGCTCGGGAAAAGCCCGAGCCCACCCGGCTCGTGGCTCGGGGTGATCGAGCCTCAAAATAAGAGGTCGGCCCGAGCCCGAGCAAGCGAGCCACACGAGCCGGCTCGTGTCATGGGCCAAAAATGGCTTGTGACAATAATACTCGGCCCGATCAAATTAAAGGACCAAAATTTTTTTTTTTTTAAAATTTGACTTGCTGCTAAAGCAGCAGGTCACAGTAGCAGCCGTGACCTGCTGCCTAAGGTAGCAGGTCACTAGGCAGCTATAAAGCTGTCTTTTTAGATAGCTTTATAGCTGCCAGCTAGGGCAGGCATTTTTTACATAGTGTTACACTGTTACCTTTAATCGTATAGATTTTGAAATTCAAATTTGAAAAATAACGCGGGTTTTTTTATCTATAAATACGGGATGATTTTTGAAGTTTTAAATCACTTTGCTATCGATTTTAATTCGCATTATTTCTATATTATAGATTCAGATTCAATCATTCAAGTTTCAATTTCTTCTTTCTCACTTCTCATATAACAATTAATATATTCAATTTCTTTCACTCTACAGTCTAATATTCAATATTTTTTATTATACTAGTTATTATGGATTTTACAAGTGATGAAATTAATCAGTTTGGCGGTAGCTCGAGTACTCCATCTAACTAATTGTAAATCATCGCCAATAAAAAACCCCTTTTTGGGATTTCGTCTCAAGAGGTCTGTTCCTTACACAATCGTCTGATCCCTTTTTTAATTGTTAGCGACTACCCACGTGAAACAGGTTCATATTGCAAATGTTTAAGATCAAGAATCAATAGCAGAAGAACTAGACGAAAACATTTCCCTTTATGACTTTCCTATAAACACAGATGAAAATGATCATATCGTCAAAGACCTATCCAAGAATCATGTCATGCAATCATCGCCGTCCAATTTCTTTAAAATTTTCAGTGATTTAAGCTCTGAAATGTCTCATGCAGAAGAAATTATATTCTGCGGTAAGCTTTTACCTTACAAGCTCCAACATGTTACTGTTCCTGATGATATTTAGAAGCATCCCCTTCGAGATGATGAGTGTGAAATTTTTTTCAAAAACCCAAAATCACGTTTTTGGCAAGTGAAAACCGTTTTTTCCATGGCTGGCCACACGGCATTCTCTTATTGGCTACTTACTCTTTCACATGGATTTGTGTTTGTTTGGAATAATGTGGGTCATTGATTTAAAGTAAAGGGCTATGATTTAGATCCACTTTTCTATCACTATTGAAGTAGACGGTGGGAGAGAGAGACTTGGACTAAATTCATTCTTCTTCATTTTTCTGGCAGTTTCCTCTCACTCTCTCTGGTTCTAGTCATTTAGCTTCATTTAACCAAGATTTCTTTAGTTTTTCTAGTTCCTTTACCTATGTTATTTGTACAAAAAGAGGCCAGTAATTTAGGCCGGTGATCTAGTGTAATTTTTACAGTTTGTCGAAGGTAGTTTGTGTTTTTTGGCAGCGGGCGTTTGGTCCCTTTTGGTTATATTCTATACTGTAAATTAATACTACATTTGAATCCATGTCAGGGTCGGTTAGGGCTATTATTGTGAGGTCCTTTGGCATTTTTATCCCAAAGTTTGGTTTAAATCACCAAATACTCAACCACAACAATATGAAAACCATACAAAAAATTAAAGAACGCAGTAATTGTTCACCCAATTCGGCCAAGCCTAATCTGGGAGGCTCAGAGGCAAAAACCCTAGCCCGTCACTATGCAAGAACCACCTAAGAGAAAATACGAGTTCGTTTATAAGATTCAGATTATACCAAGAAATCTACAGATCATCGGTCTGTCAAAAGACCTCACAATAATAGCCCTAACCGACCTTGACCTGGACTCAAATGTGGTATCAATTTACAGTATAAAATATGACCAAAAAGGAGCAAACGCCCGCTGCCGGAATACACAAACTACCGTCGGCAAACTGTAAAAATTACACAAATCACCACCCTAAATTACTAGCCTCTTTTTGTACAAATAACACGGGTGAAGGAACTGGAAAAACTAAGGAAATCTTGGTTAAATGAAGCTGAATCCCTAGAACCTGAGAGAGAGGAAACTGCCAGAAAAATGAAGAAGAATGAATTTAGTCCAAGTCTCTCTCTCTCTCCAGCTATCTACTTCAATAGTGATAGAAAAGTGGATCTAAATCATAGCCCTTTATTTTAAATCAATGGCCCACATTATTCCAAACAAAGACAAATCCATGTGAAAGAGTAAGTAGCCAATAAGAGAATGCCATGTGGCCAGCCATGGAGAAAACAGTTTTTCACTTGCCAAAAATGTGATTTTGGGTTTTTGAAAATATTTCACAATCTTCACCTTGTTTTCACAAACCATTAGCTCTCTCTAGTTGCTATAATGCATGTTACGGTAATATGTTCGCCCTACATCATCGCCCTTAGTACTTGCAAAAGAAATTAGCCCGTATCAATATGTAATAAAGATAAACATGACTTAAATTTGTCTACATTCAAAATTTTAGTTCCCATATCAGATGTGTTCACATCGGTATGAATTGTTTTAAGTATAACATCACCACAAGCAATTTTTTCACGTATGAAATGGTACTTCACCTCAATATGTTTAGATCTCTCATGATAAACTGAATTTTTACATAAAAGTAAAGCACTTTGACTATCGATGAAAATAACTGGTGACACTTGCAAAAAATTCAACTCCCCCAAAATTCTTTTCAACCAAATACATTCTTTTACAGATTTGGTTATTGCCACATATTCAGCTTCCGTGCTGGATAATGTGACAATAGATTGAAGTCGTGACTTCCATGTGATGCAATTATCACCTAATGTGAAGAAATAGGAGGTAGTAGACTTTTTTTTATCTTTATCACCAGCAAAGTCGGAGTCTACATACCCCTTTAAAATGAGCTGTTCAGATCTTCTTTCAAACATCAATCCCACATCTAATGTTTCGGCAATGTATCTTAAAAGCCACTTTAACCCCGCCTAATGAGGTTTCCCCAGATTAGACATGAATCTACTTAAGAAACTTATAGCATAAGCCAAATCCGGCCTAGCAGTAATCATAGAAAACATGACTGATCTTATGGCATTAGCATATGGGATATTTTTCATTTCTTCCATTTTACTTTCAGTTTTAGGAGACTGAGATGATGATAAATTCATATGGGCTGCAAGAAGTACATTAACTTTCTTAGCTTCTTTCATGCTAAACTTGGTTACAACTTTGTTCAAATAAGCACTTTGTGTGATAATTAAAATGTTCTCTTGCCTATTTCTGTTGATAACCATTCCCAAAATTTTCTTGGCATTTCCCAAGTCCTTCATATCAAATTCTGATTTTAGAAGCCCTGTAAGTCTCAAAATTTTAGACTTACTAGAGTTGGCCAATAGCATGTCATCAACATATAGAAGTAAATAAACTTCACTACCAGCCCTAGTGTTATTATAATATAAACAATGATCATATTCACTTCTTTTGAAACCAATCTTCAACACATATGTGTCAAACCTAATGTACCATTGCCTTGGACTTTGTTTGAGCCCATACAATGACTTTTGCAACTTTCACACATAATCACCCTTCTCCTTCACCTCAAACCCTTGAGGTTGATTCATATAGATCTCCTCATTTAATTCACCATGTAAGAAGGCCGTCTTGACATCTAATTGTTCAAGTTCCCAATTGAACTGAACAACTAGTGCAAGCACCAACATTATGGTCTTATATTTGACAACCGGTGAGAAGATCTCATTGTAGTCAACACCCTCTTTTTGAGTAAATCCTTTGGCTACTTGCCTCGCTTTATATCTCAAAGGGTCAGACGACACAATCCCTTCTTTTAGTTTGAAAATCCATTTACATTGAACAACTCTTTGATTTTTAGGTTTCTTTACTAATTTCCACGTGTTGTTTTCAAGTAAAGATTTCATTTCTTATTTCATTGCATCTTTCCAATTTTTAGAATTAGAGCTATTCATAGCCTCTTCATATGATGAAGGTTCTGAATACTCTAAAGATTCGCCCGAGATGAGGGCAAAGTCGGTCAAATTATTTATTTCATATCTTGGATTTGGTTTGATTTGCCTTCTTTCCGTATCTCTCACCAATTGATAATCTTGAGCACTTGTTTCAATAGTAGGAATATTTGAATTTTCAATTTCAGTTTTGACTTCACTCGGACCTACTTCACCTTCATCCATGTCAACAACATTTTCATCAGATTGTTGTATACCCTCATCAATGTTTTCATGTTGAGTGGGATTTAGCCTTGCTAGCTTCACCTCATTCCGTGAAGCAGTCTCATTGATTTGCTCTTTAGAATTATCAATTTTGTTCTTTAGGCATGACATTTCGGATTTATTGAAAACCACATTTCTACTATTAATGATTTTAATGCCTTGAACGCCTAACACCCACAACCGGTACCCCTTAACACCTTCCGGGTACCCAAGCATCACATACTTAGTAGCTTTAGGGTCCAATTTTCCTTCAACTTGATGTGCATATGTCGCACATCCAAACACCCTAAT